TTTACCTTAAGTCATTTTAGAAGTTGTTTTGCCATCACCTGAGCCTGAAGCTTTTTTGTCACTATAGCACTGTCATCTGCCACAGTTGTTTATTCAATAGAAAAGCTAAAAGGTATAGTTTAGAGGGTTCTTTAGTATAACTTGGAGAGAAAATATGAACGTGAGCAACTTATATAGTCAGAAAGTAATACGTGAGGAAGTGCTAGAGAATCAAAAGTGTGTGTAGTGTGTGTTTTATGTATGTAAGACATTCTTAATAAGCATTCAAAGGCATCTACCAGAGTTGTAAATTCATTCTACACATCTATAGAGAACCATATAATGCAGAAGATGTTGCAGGAACAATATAGCTGAGTAGGATCCCATCCTGTCTTCAATACAAAAATAACAAAAGACTATAACAATAAGTTCAAAGTAAGTGTCAGAGGAATAAAGAGCTATGAGAGTTGACCAGGGAGATGCAGAGGTTTCATGTGAGAGCAGGCATTTGTGCTGTGACTGAAAGTATGTGTAGAACTGGGCAAGTAAAGACAGTCTCAGAAAAGCACAGGAGCATACAGGGAACACAGCAATTGAGTTTGAATAGAACGCTATAGGTTCTGAGGACAAATGGGGAATGAGTAGAAAAATAGGTTGGGCTGGGTGATAGAGAACTGAAAATATTCTGAAAATAATTTGAGGAGCCACTGGAGCTTTTGAAGCAAAGGTAGTAACACACATGAGATGAGATAACTAAATTACCTTGTACATTGCTGTGGAGGATTAAATGAGATAATTTATGTGAAACACTTGGCCCGATGCTTACCACATAATAAATGGTAGCTGCTATCATTCACCTGACTAGAGAACAGTAGGCCAATTTGGATATTTTCAGGTGGGCCAGTCAGGTGGTGTGAAAACCTGTTCTGGTGGTAATCAGATATCTAGTAATGCTAGAGATGAGAAAAAGAAACCGTTTAGATTGCAAAGGATAGAGATAGGTTTTCTTAAGGGAAAGCTTTTATTTTGAATAAAAGTTAGAAATGTTTAAGTAGCAAAGAATATCATGAACAAAGTGTTACCTCTCCTAAATTAACTATGACTTTAGTGATTAATAACAATACTAATAGATTTAGTTAGGAGATTCTTCTTCGTTTGTGGTGGTAGGGTTCTTGTTTTTTAAGCCAAAATTTACTGAGATAAATATTGTTATTTTTATCAGATTTCTTGTAACAATTCATAGCATATATAAATGACCTTTATTGATTAAAGTGTCTCTCCCTGATCATTAAAAATTCAATTATGTTTTAAGTAATAGTTGACCATCTGGTCCAACCTAAATGCAGCACTTACATGGATCTAATTCTGGGGGTCTAATGAAGTGGTCCAATATTCATAAGAATTTTATTAAAACCATCTAGATTCATGAAACTATCTTAGGAATTATGATTCTATCAAACTTCAATTTGAAGAAATGTAGCATCAATTAAGAAAAAGCAGTTAAACTAAAAAGAGATTAGCGTATTTTTAAAAAGAGGAAACATAGATGTCCTCCAGTGGATATTTGGGAGTTGCTATAAACCTGAGTTAAATGTGGTGACCCAAATGCCTGAGCCTTCATAACTTAGCCCCTACCCTTCCTGGGGACCTGAAGATGCAGGGTATCCCCAGATACCCTCTCGGATCTCTGCCCAAGCCTTCATGTGGAAGAATAGGAACCACTTAGAATTTAAATTCTGCCTCAGCCAATTTTGCTGGTTGTGGTCATCTTCTTTTCCTTGCTCAGTCAGTGAGCTTTCTCTCAGTAAGCCAAGCAGCCATCCAACTTTCTTGAGCTTTCTTTTTTTCTCATGGGAGATGATCCAACTTTGATAGAAGGCAGTGCTTCTTTCCAAGACTTTCTCAAGGTCATCTTCCTGTAGGAGCCATACTTTTGATATATATATAGCTGATGTTTTCATATGCTTTGGGAAGTTTCTTCTCAATTTCCAAGCAGTAAATTCCCTTGATTTTCTGCAAACATGCATTACGTGTTCTTGATGTAGTTCAGACAGTGTTTGATGTTTTAGCTGAAGTTTTTGAATCTCATTTTCAAATTATCTTTCCAGAATACAAAAATGCTTATTCAGTTTGGTGAACATTTATTTTCTTTACTTAACTTTTTAAATAGACGTCATTTTCTCCTTCAGGCCTTTTTAAGGAAAAATTTAACGGCATCAACGTATTTCTTCAAATTAACTTGAAATCTAGAGGTTCTCAGTTTTCTGATTTTCTCTTTGTCTAATTTCAAGTCGCCACAGCCCTCTAATGTACTCTAAAGATGGCAGACAAACGAATTATCTTCAGTATGGTTTGAGAGATTTTAAAGGGCTCTCTTTATCATTTACAAAAATCTTTCATTCATGTTTTCAAGTTGTCAAAGCATTTTTTTCTGTTCCTTCATTTCTCACACTTTTTCTTCTAGGTCATAGCGTCTTGGGGTGGCAGTTTTAGGTTTTCCTAAAAATGAGTGTTTTCTTCCAAACCATCCATGATTTCCCTTTGAAGTTCTTCTGAGATACTTTTAAGATGTTTTTGGCATCAGTCACTTGATTGAAGTATTTTGATACATCGAGTGACTATGCCCTTGAAGTTGAAGCATGAAATGAAAGTTTAGGGGACTCCCTCCTGTTCTTTCCTCAAGTGATAAGTAGACCCACCCAGATATTTACTAAGTGCTGCCACAATCAGCGTTTGTAACTTCAGAGGACTAGTCTCCACTGGAGGTAGCTTGAAGGCTTTGTTGATCTGTGTCATCAATCTAATCTTCTCACTCACTTCAACCTGTGCAGAAAATCTTTTCCAGCTCTTTTTCCCTCCTTAAAGTATGCATGTTCTTTACTGTAAAAACAATCAGAGAGGTCATAGCAGAATCTCCCAGTGTAATCCATACAGACTTGAGCCTTGTCTCAAACGTGAAACACCACTGAGGGCTGGACAGGAAGAAGAAGACCAGTTTCTGTACAAAAAAACCCAGCGCGCTCTAACTTTACTCCGCTCACCACACAAATAGAAAGTGTGATTATTTGTACAGGGCATTTGAGCAAGTGGAAAATGTTGATTGCAGCCAGAACAACCAGCCATGAGCTCTGACCACTCTAGACCCCACCTGGCCCTGCAGGAAGCCTAGGAGATCAAAGCAGTGCCATGTCACCACCCCTTCTCTGCCCATGAGCATGTCAGGGTGTGATGGGGGCACACCGTGCCCCTGCTTCTGGGTGAGGCCCATTCTCCTGAATTCAAGTTTCCTTTGTCGGGGAGGCCTGATCCCACTGCAGAGGTCACAAGGATCTGCCTTCTCTGAAGGCTCCCCTCCTCATTTGTGGTTAGTCAGACCAAGTGACGGGGGCACAGCGCCAAAAGGCCTCAGTAAGTGTATTAACTATTGATGATAGCCTTGCATTTCAATATCAAAATGGCAATGTCTTAACATTTCATGAATTTTTTGTGAGGCCAGTTTGTCCCCACATTCAAACCAAGCATTCCCAGATGGGGTCAGCTCTCCTTCATGGGTGACTTAGTGACCCAGGCCCCTTGAATCACGTGACTCTTACATCTTTAGCACATGGCTCCCAGGGTTGCCCTGCAATTGGTTTCCAACCCAGGGAGTCATCTTCAGGAGGGCGGCTGCCTCTGTGAAGGAAAGAAGTGGGTCCTTCTTTCTGAATCTGGCACCTTCTTTTTCTTTCAAAGAAATCTCACTCTCCTAGTTTCTCTCCAGCAGATTCAGTCCAAGCCTCTGTGTCCATCACCTGGAACACTGTCCGGGGGACTCTGTGAGGACAGCCTTTTCCACAGGGAAAGGAGAGGACCCTCAGTGGATGACAGTCTGGGGGATTCGGGGGAGGTTTAGGGCTCAAGCCACAGGTCCCTCTGTAGATGTGGAGGATGGAGGCTCAGAAGAGACCTTGTGGTGAGAGGAGGAGGTGCCCAAATGCCTGATGACGTTTTCTTTGTTTAGAATTCATTTATTTCTTTGAAAAAAAAAAAAAAGAGTGTGGGGGCTTATTTGAAGTAGTAAGACTTGACAAAAATCAGGAAGAGTAGGATGATATTTTAGTATTTTGTTGGATGTCATTTTTTTCAATGTGTGTAATAAGTCTCTTCATTCTGTGTTTTTTCTCTTCAGTGCAATCTTGTCTTTGGTAGAAAATAGTGCAGTTATGTTACACTGGTGTTTCCGATGACACCGGCGATCTTAGGTAGTTTACTGACTCACCATTAAATAACAGTGAATCACGCAGTGAGAAAGTCATTTCTTTAAAACTCTCACAAGCCTGCTGATGATGTCAAAGACAGCCTTAACTTTCTTCTGATTTTCACTCTGCTCCCTCTTTTACAAAGAGAGTGGGTCTCAGATTCACAGCCTTCTGTGACAATGTCTTCCTAGGTCTTAATAAAAATAATTTGCTTTTATTATATTCATTGTTATAGTTATCCTCTACTTATAGAAAAGAATACTGGCTTTCCATTTAGGGTAGTGATGGAAATCTAAGACAAAAAAAATTTTTAATGAGCTGCCTGAAAGAAAAATATTAGATTAATAGCGTTGGCAATATGTGGATATGACCAAAAAAGAAATTGCAGTGTTGCCATGCAAATAATGACACCATTCCAGAATCTCAAAGGAGCTAAACTACCACCTTTTAACTCAAAGGAGCTAAACTACCACCACAGGGGCATTTAAGGCAATACACAGACATCAGCCAAAGTACAGTAGCTTTTACTGATTTAAGTCCTTTCCAGTCCTTTTTTTTTAAGACAGAGTCTCACTCTTTCACCCAGGCTAGAGTGCCATGGCATTAGTCTAGCTCACAGCAACCTCAGACTCCTGGCCTTAAGTGATCCTCCTGCCTCTACCTCCAGAGTAGAGGTGACTACAGGTGTCTGCCACCATGCCCCACTAATTTTTTCTCTTTTTAGTAGAGATGGGGTCTTGTTCAGGGCTCAGGCTGGTCTCAAACTCCTAAGCTCAAGAGATCCTCCTGCCTCAGCCTCCCAGAGCGCTAGGATTATAGGAGTAAGCCACCTTGCCTGGCCTAGAAAATTTTTGTCATTAATTAGGATTGCATTGAGCCTTGCAGTGAAATATAATTAGACTGCATAGTATTTCTTACTTAAGATGCAGGAACTTTATGGTATGTTATCGTAGTGTCCTGAAATCTTAGAACACAAAAAGATATTGCTGACATTTTCTTGATCAGATAAATAGGTCAACAAGCTCTGTCTTAAACCTGTCAAGCTTCCTTCGTGAGCTCTCCATAGCACAAACTCAGCTGCAACAATCCTGTAAACAGTTCGTGTTAGTCAAGAGGTTGCATCTTCAAAGATCTGAATAGTTGGTTCGTTATTGGCCAGATTTCCAGTAAAAAGAAATTGGATGGTCCTCGAAGACCCACTTGAATTCTGTCCCTCAGAAAATAACAACATAGGTTTATTAGCATCACCACTGGCACAGACAGTATCATGCATTACATTTATTGACAAAGGTTTTCCCATTTTAATATTTCTCATCATTTCCTCACTTAATTAGTACTGCTAGTTGCCCTACTAAGAATTTAACATTGGCTTGTTATTAGAGATGGTATACATTGTTCCTACAGCATCCGAAGCAGAACACTAGATATTAAGTTCAAGCAAAAGCGTGAAGGATGTCGTTTCAGCATTTCTCAGGTGTCTTGCTGGCTCTTACGGTGAGTAAGGTGGTGGGGACTGTTCTGCAGAGAGTTTCTCATAGACAGGTGGAGCGTTGGGAACCTGTGAGAATGAGAAAAGGAGATTGTGGGCTTGCCGACAGTGTGTGCATTTCTGGGAAGGGATTAAGTAAAAACAGCTAGTGTCATATATATACTTTTGCTGTGGACTGAAACTCCTAAGTGCCTGCATCTAATCTCCACCCAAGGAGGTAACTGCTAAATTTCCTGTGTTTATATCAAAACATTTTTAGGGGAAGGGTAGAGAAAAATAGAGCTAAGGGGTTTCCCCAAATCCCAAAAGCTTATCTGTACCTGGATTCTCCATGTCAGAAGTCCCAAGCCCTGACTGATGGATTCTTGAAACCTACTTACAGACACTAACATACGCTGCATCCTTACCACGTAGATGCTTGTAACTGTGTCTAAAGGCACGTGGATGCTACCGACAGAGCACAGGTGTGTCAGGCCTTCATTTATTGCTCACAACAGTTCTAGGATTATTTTCATTGTTTTCATGTTACAGAGTGGGAAACTGAGGCACAGAGAGGTTCAGTCACTGGCCCCGGGTCACACAACTGGTAAGCGGTGAAGCTACGCGTCAAACTCAGTAACTTGGCTCCACAGTCAGTGCTCTTAACCATTATGCTACACCGTGTCTGTGCCAGCGCTGCCAATGCCGTGTTTCCCCGACAATAAGACCTACCCATAAAATAAGCCCTAGCAGGATTTCTAAGCATTTGCGCAATAGAAGCCCCACCCCGAAAATAAGACCTAGTGATGGGGGTGGCTACGCGGTGTATCTGCACAACCCGTGCATTTCGTAGTGGAGCAGGAAAGAAGACGAGCAGCCCTTCTCATCTGCCCCATGAGAGCTCTATTGCTCCACATGAGAGATTGGGGCCAATGGTTCTAAAGGAAATAGAGTCACAAGAAATTCAGGATGGAATTTGGGGTTTAGAGAGTTATGATGATGTTCCAGAAGAAGGCAACTTAACTATATTTGAATAAATGTAGACTGTTGTACCCAACTTAAAAGAAAATAAGCCCTAGGGTGTCTTCTTGAGGAAAAATAAATATAAGACCCTATCTTATTTTCGGGGAAACATGGTAGATATGGCATACAAGTCAGATGTGTAATTTTAAGATTTCTAGTAGCTACTTAAAAAAAAAAACTATAAATAAAATATTTTAACTATAATAAAATATTTTATTTAACCCAATATATTAATATCAAAATATCATTTCAATATGTAATCAATATAAAAATCATTAAAGAATTATTTATATTCTTTTCCACATGATATGTCCTTGAAATAAGATATGGATTATAGTGCATTTAATTCAAACTACTATGTTTCAAGTGCTCAGCAGCAACATGTGGCTAGTGACAACGCCATCAGACAGCACGGCTCTGTACAATTAATAATAGGTCCTTTTTTCCCTCCCCTATATATGTACATTTATGAAAAAGGCAAATAGAACTAAAAATGTAAAACAAAAGGATATTGTATCCAGAACCAAGATCTTCCTTTGGGTCTTACATATCCCAGAACATGTGGATATTAGAGGATACAATTTTAGAAAATCTCTGTGCTTCCCTTGTTTCTTGTTTTTATTATTATTTATTTTTTATTGTATCTAAATACTCTAAAAGTTGCCATTTTAACCATTTTTAGGTGTATAGTTCAGTGGCATCAAGTACATTCACATTGTCCTTGCTTTTTAAATGAGAATGATTGTGTTCACTTGAGTTAAAAACAGCCATATGTGAAAATACCTGGATGCAGGATCTCAACCTACCGCAAGTTCACAATTTTTCTCTTGAAAAGACAGTTTGCTGTCCTGATGACCAAGCCCTTCACGTGGGCATCTTCTTGTTAAGGCGCTTTGTTTACCGACATGAAGGCTTTTATCCTGAAAAGTAAATTGATAAAAGTGAGTGGGTGAGAAGAAATATTGGGTCCATTAATGAAAAGAGAAGGGAGCCAAAATTTTAAGAATGAGTTTTAATCTAGGTTCTGCCACTTACTTGCTGTGTGTCCTCAGGCTAGTCACTTTACCTCTCTGAATTCCAGTAGGAGGATGAGATCACCTGCTTCTCAGAATTATGGGACTTAACTAAAGGTAAAGCCCTAGTGCAGTGCCTGGCACCCAGCAGTCAGTCAAAGAATATTTCTGAAGGGAAGGAGAAGAAGAGTGAATCTACAAAAAGAACCTCTTTCAAAATTATCCTTCAAAAGTGAAAGAGAAATGAAGACTTTCTCAGACAAATAAAAATTGAGGGAATTTGTTGCCAGTAGACCTACCTTGCAAGAAATGTTAGAAGTTCTTTAGAGAGAAGGAAAATAATATAGGTCAGAAACTCAGATCTACGTGAAAAAAGGAAAAGCATCAAAGAAAGAATAAGTGAAGGAAAATAAATACTTTTCCTTATTCTTTAACAGACAATTTTGGTCTAATAGTTCAAAATAATAATAGCAACAATGTATTTGATTACGTCTGCTTATATACATGTAAAATGAATGACAGTAATGATACAAGGGAAAGTAGGAAGGAATTAGGATTATTTTGTTATTATAAAGTACACGTACTACCCATGAAGTGGTATGGTCTTATTTGAAAGTTGGCTTGGATTAGTTCTAAATGTATATTGCAAACTCTAGGGCAAGCACTAAAAAAAACTAAAAAAAAAAAAAAAAAAAGAATATCAGGAAGAAAAGACAATGGAATCATATAAAATGTCCAACTAAAAGCACAAAAAGCAGAAAAATGGAAAATAAAAATAGGAACAAATAACAAGGGTCATAAATAGAAAACAGTAACAAATATGATAGATATTACACCAACCATATCAATATCATTTTGAACATCAATGATCTAAATGCACCAATTAAAAGACAGAGATAGATTGGATCAAAAAATGAGACTCAACTGTGTTGTCTATAAGAACCCTCTTTAAATATAAAGACAACATGTACATTAAAAGTAAATGGATGTAGAAAGATATGCCATTCTAATGCTAATCAAAAGAAAGTAGGAATTCCTGTATTAATTTCAGAGAGAGATTTCAAAGAAAACAAAGTTATCAGGGAAAGAGAGAGGCATTACCTAATGACAAAGGGATTGATTCTCCAAGAAGACATAGGAACACTTAACGTGTATGCACCTAAAACAGCATATCAAAATACATGAGAGAAAAACTGCAAGGAGAAATGGTTGAATCTACCATGGAGTTTGAGTTGGAGTTGGAGACTAACACTCCTCTCTCAGAAATGGACAACTATGGCAGATGAAAAATTAGTAAGACATAGTCAAACAATAAGACTATCAATCTACTAGATATAATAGATATCTATAGGCTGCTTCATCAAACAGCAGAATACATACTCTTCTCAAGCCCAGATAGAACATTCACCAGGATAGACCACATTCTGGGACATAAAACATATCTTAACAAATTTAAAAGAATAGAAATCATATAATGTTTGCTTGTAAGACCACAATAGAATTAAAATAGAAACCAATAACAGAAAGATAGCTAGAAAATCCCCAAATATGTGAAGATTAAGCAATGCATTTCTATATAGCACATGAGTCAAAAAAGAAATCGCAAGAGAAATTTAAAAATATTTTGAACTAAATGAAATTGAAATACAACTTATCAAAATTTGTGGGATGCAGTGAAAGCAGTACTTAGATGGAAATTTATAATGAATGTGTATATGGGAAAAGAAGAAAGATCTAAAATCAGTCATCTAAGCCTCTACCTTAGGAAACTAGAAAAAGAAGAGCAAATTAAATCCAAAGTAAGCAAAAAAAAAAAAAAGAAAGAAAGAAAGAAAGAAAGAAAAAGAAAAATTAAAGCAAAAATCAATGAAATTAAAAATGGAAAATCAATAGAGCAAATCAATGAAACCAAAAGCTGGTTCTTGGAAAAGATCAGTAAAATTGATAAGTCTTAAGCTAGGCTAAGAAAAAAAAAAAAAGACAGAAGACACAAACTACTATTATCAGAAATGAAAGCGAGTAATCACTACAGAGCCCATGGACATTAAAAGGATAAGCAAGAAATACTATGCTCACAATTTGAAAGCCTATATGAATGTAACAAATCTTGGAAAAACACAATCTGTCAAAATCCACACAAGTAGAAATAGACCATCTGAATAGGCATATATCTACCATAAAAATTGAATCAAAAATTAATGACCTTCTAAAACAGAAAGCACCAGGCCCAGATGGGTTCACTGGCAAATTTTACTAAACATTTAGGGAAGAAATTATACCATTTTCTATGACCTCTTTTACAAGACGGAAGCAGAGGAAATACTTTCTAAACCAGTTGTTGAGGCCAGCATTACCCTAATACCAAAACCAGACAAAGACATTATAAGAAATGAAAACTACAGATCAATATCTCACATGAATATAGATGCAAAACTCCTCAACAAAATGTTAGCAGATCAAATCGAACAATGTATAAAAAGAATTATATGCTATGACTACGTGGGATTTATCCCAGGTATGAAAACTGGTTCAACGTTGGAAAATCAATTAATTCATTACACCAACAGGCTAAAGAAGAAAAATCACATGATTATATCAATACATGCAGAAAAAGCATTTGATAAAAATCAAACTCTTGTTCATATTTAAAAACTCTCAATAAACTAGGAACAGAGGGAAACTTCCTCAACTTTGCTGAAGAATATCTACAAAAATTCCTACAGCAAACCATACTTAATGATGAGAGACTTGAGGCTTTTCCACTAAGATCAGGAACAAGGCAAGGATGTCTCCTCTCATCACTCCTTTTCAACATCATCCTAGAAGTCCTAACTAAGGCAATAAGCCAGAAATAAATTGCAGACTGGGAAGAAAAAATAAAACTGTCAATTATTGTTTTTTTTTCTTTTTCTTAAGCTTCTCACCTGCCACAGGATAGGAATGTGATCCACTCTCTCAGTTCACTGCTAATTCTCTGCATTTGCATTCTAACTCAGGATGTTAAAATGCAGATTCCTCCACCCCACCACCAGAGATAGTCCCAGAATCTGCCTTTTAGCAAGAATCTCAGGTGATCCCAGTGCAGGTGTCCCCTGACCATTGAGAAACACAATACTTTGAGACATGAACGTAAACTGAGCTGTTAGCAGGAGCCTTGACATTCTTCTCCAGGAATGAAAAAAATATTATGTCCTAAACTTCCAAGTGATGGTATAAAACTGGTGGTAAATATAAAAATCCACATTCGATTCCTTACAAATCATTCCTACTTCCTTCTGCAGAAACATGTTACTGCCAAAAAGAACTCTTTCCTTTCAAAAGATGTTTTTCAGGGCTCAGGGAAATTGTTAACCAAGGGAGAAATTTTAGGAGATCTAAATTCCAAACATCCTCACTACCATCAATGAAAGTTGGAAGCAGACAGTTCAAAGCAAAGTTGGTCAATGAAAGTTGCAAGTAGACAGTTCAAAGCTTAATGACGGCTGCTAAAAGTGGAGTGATTCAGGTGCCCAAAGCTTGTATTTATTGTCATTTATGTTCTTTTGCTTTAAAATGGAAATAGAATCACCAAAGAGAGAAAAGGAGATAAGTATGCAATTAAATGCAGTACTTACTGCACTATTTTACATAATTTTGCCTAAATTTCTTAGACTGCTGATTCCCAACCTGGCTTTTCTAGAGATACGAAAGTCTCAAAACAAGATTTTAATATTAATTAAAAAAAATAAATATGATAGCATTTTTAGGCAGTAGGGGAACAAAGAAATTTAAACACATTTCCATCTCATAAAAATTGCAGAAGCTCTACAAATCATTGATCCAGTCATAGAGAAATGTCGACATGGTAGGCTGAATTTGAACCTTACCAAGCAAAATATTCACAGTGTCTGAACACACATTAAGACTCTCTGTTATTTAAAATGAATGAATTTAAGATGAGAGCACTGAAGCATAGAGGAGAAACATCATTATCTTTGTGTCCAGTGGCAGCAAGCTAATAATTGTAGTTAGTAAGGAAGTGGGTACCGGTATATTGAGTGCATAGAGCACTCCCTGAAAGACTGAATCATTGTGTTTTTGATATTCGAGTATATAATGAAATAAAAACATAGAAGAAAATATGTATTAAATAAAAACGGACAGACATCATGTTACCAATATATCATGTGTTTCCACCATGGCGAGGTGCAGAAAAGAGCTAACGAGGCTTGGAGAAGTTAAAACCTAAGATCCTAAACCACGCAAGTCAGGGGCAGACCATGAGACCCAATGCTGACGCCGTACAATTGTATGACTGCCATGTGCCAGGCACTGCACTGGGCACTAGAGAAACAAAGATGAATAAGAAATAGTCTCTGTATTGGTTCATAAATGGGGGGAAGAAAACAGGTGGAAAAGGTAAAAAGTAAATAACTAATTACAAGGCAATGTCATAACCCCATGCTGGAGTTACAGATGGAGTTCTGTGGCAGAGAGCAAAACCCTCCCCTCCTAGCTGAACCTGGGGCCTTAAGGCAAAAATGTGCCCTGCTAGGTCCGTAAGTGCAGCCTTTTGACTGAATCCAAATTTTACAGAGCAAATTCTTTTATTAAAACGGGTGCAGCAGAGAAAGATGAAGCTTTTCTTGCTGGTGCTTAAAAAAGAAACGGTCTTGAAATCAGAAGGCCGCAGTTTCCCTGCCCTTTCCGGGGCTCCCACTGTCAACCCACTAGAGCAGGTGTCCTCAAACTACTGCCCGCAGGCCACATGCAGGCCGCCTAGCACATTTATCCAGCCCTCCAGGTGTTTTTGCCACCGCTGCCTGTCCTGCTTAGCAGCCGACTCGTCCTGGGCCCACAGTGCACACTCTCCAACGGTCTGAGGTATAGTGAACTGACTCCCTGTTTAAAAAGTTTGAGGACCCCTGCACTAGAGGGCTATGCTTGGGGGGTGCATCAGTCCCAGACTTGCCCTGCCTTTCATGGTTTGTATTCGTATTCACACTCTGGCAAGACAGGCTCTGGGGAAACAGAGGCACGAGGCTTCCCAAGTTCCTAGGCAAGAAGGAAAAGAATTTGAAGGTGCATCTCTCACCTTCCCCTTCTCACCAGACTGCCCAGCCCCCACCCCCACCCCACCCCCCCACACACACACACTGACCCTCCTCTCCTTCCCAGGCCACTTTCCTCTGACCCCGTGCTTGCTGAATGAGCACGGGACTTCCCGACATCTTTCGTAAAGTTATTTTTTTCCCATTATGCATCAACCTGAAAAGCTTTCATATCTGTAATAATAACCAGGAGGAGAGAGAGAGAAAAACCCTTTCGTTCCATCGCTCACTGTGGGGAACGCCTTCGGGTGCTTAAAGGCTAAGGTGCTGCCTGACTTTGAGGTGAGATTGCTGAACCTTGTAGTTTTTATGGTTTATAGACTCAACCGATATTTCCCATTGGTGGAAGATCCTAGTACCACAAGACTGGACAGTGTCATTGTGTTAGCTTCCTGTTCACTTGGGTAAAGAAGAAAAAATACCATTAAAACCATGTTGGCCATCCAAGAAGGAAGGAGCCTGCTTAAACACGCGCACACACGCACACACACAGTGATCCGGAGAGGATGGTTTTCTCATCGCACTGATGTCTGAAGGGGTCTTGGACATGCTGAGCTGCCAGTGTGGAGTCAGAAGAACTTGGAATTCCCAGGTGACTGGGAGGAAAGGGGGGAAGAGGCAAGGTGAGGAGTGGGCCACTGAGTGGAGGAGTGGAGCCAGCAGGAATCCCTGTAAGTATTGGTAAGACTTGACGTGCCTAATATACTGCTACTTGCTGTGCAAGAGGACCACGAACCCCTTCCCGAGTGCCCCACAGACCATGGGTGTTCGGTGACACACAACAGCCAGGTACCCAAGTTTGCTATGAGTAGGACCATTATGTCCCCCAAAATTCACACGTGTTGGAAACTTAACCCCCAATGCAACAGTGTTGAGAGGCGGGATCTTGAAAGGGTGATTAGGTCACCAGAGCTGCGCCCTCATGAATAGATTGACGTCTTTATCTCGGGAGTGGGTTTGTCACAAAAGCGAGGGCGGCCCTCTCTTGCTCTCTCATACTCTCCTGCCCGCATGGCGCCTCCCACAACGATATGACGCAACAAGGAGGCCCTCACCAGATGCAGCCCCCAGACCCTGGACGTCCAGCCTACAGAACTGTGAGGCAAATAAATTTCATTTCTTCATAAATCACCCAGTCTTTTATATTCTGTTATAGCAGCCCAGAACAGACAAGACACAGGGCAAGTTCCTGGTTGGGGGTCATGCCTGGGCAAAGGCAAAAGGAGCTTTGCAACAAGTACAATATAGCAAATCCAAGCTAGAGGTGATGGTGAGAATGTCCTCCCACTCTTCAGAAATCCAGAGGAAGAAGTGGAAAGGGAGTCCTGAATCTGCAGGGATCCCGGCAGTGGGAACTATACTCACCGTCAAGGTTCTGTATCCACTTCGTCTCCTGCAATACCAGCAGCCGACGAGCAGCAAAATTGCCAGGATCACTGTCAGGATGCCAATCCCCGCGGCCCTGGCCCAAGAGACAGACAAATCCGCCTTGTCATAGAAACACTGTTCCAGATCGTGATGAAACATAGATTGATCTTCTTCTGTCTTTGTATGGGCTTTGACAGCTCAAAGAAGCACCTCCCAGTCCCCAAGTAGTTTCCCCGCTCCCATACCCGACCAGAGCTCCAGCACCTGTATCCAGGGACGGGTCCTTGTCTAGGAGCCTGCTAGGTGTGTGCCCAACAAGAGCACTGCCAACTGGCAAGGCCTAACAACCCAAGTTCCAGGCACAAGAAGTGCCATAGCAACTGATCCTTATGTGGACAATGTATTTGTTAGGGCTGAATTATCTCTTCTTCTCATCAAAGCTCATCAAAGCTCATTTGAACATTTTTTCCAATTTGGTCCACAAAAAGAAAATGAAAACTAGCATTTACCGAATATCGACCATAACCTAGGTGCTGTGCTAAACATCCTACATGCATTATCTTATCTGATTCTCATTCTCCAGGGTAGGGACCATTTACCATTCCCATTTCACAGATGAGGAAATAAAAGCAGAGATGAAATGGCTTGCTAGTGGTCATGCAGAGCTAGCACAAGACAGAGCTAGGATTTGAACCCGAGTCTGTCTCAACTGTGTTTGTGTCCTCTCTTCCCCAAACCCAGGCTCCCCGCTTTACTCCTTGCAGCCCGGGGGGGGGGGGGGGGCAGAACCTAGAGCAAAGGTGTAGCGTTACATATTGCGAAGGATCTGGTCCCAAGCAGTGGGATGCCAATCTGGGGTCTAAACCAGCCTTTTGGGCCTTGTGCTCAGTGACCCCTGGGAAGCATCACAGTTACCACAAAGGCCCTGGAAATAGTGTGTGGGGCTGTGCACGCCCTAGCTAACATCTGCTGACCATCACAGCATGGTCAAAATTGAGAGCACTCAGCCTGTTATCTGTGGCCATCAACTTGCTAAGAGAGGCTCTGCAGAGCGGAGTGACTTACAAGAGGTGGAGCAGCTACAAGAGAAGTAAGGTTGAACCAAGCCTCTCCTTCTGGGGAGACTTTTGTCCAGTACCATCTACCAGACCACCTCTGTCTCAAGGCTGCTGAGGCATCCAGCTCATCCTGTCCCTCTCTCAATGGGATGGAGTGACAGTGCTAGATGGCAACTCTGACCCAGTTATGGAGGCCGATCCACCCATCCTATAGATCATGAAGTTGAGACCAACCGAGATTCATCAACGTCACCACCACCATAGTGACTTCCATTCACTTAGCCCCAACATGTGCCAGGCACTGTGATAAACACCCGACTTATGTGATTTTATTCCACCCTGACTACAGTCCTCTGAGGAAGGACTGATGTTCATTTTACAGCTGACATCAGGCTGCTAAAATGCCCAAGGTTTGCACAACCATTAAGTGGCAGAACCAGCATTCACAGCAACTGGTGTTAGAAACGCAAGGAGTGAGCACTAGAATTTTTGCCAGATCCCGGTCTCCCATCTCCCAGGCCAGCGCTTTTCAAACAGAATCACTCTTCCCTAAAAGGAAGCTGTCACAAGGAGTATTCAATGGGCTCTTGTGACTGGAGGCAGGTGACTCCACTCCCAGCATGCCTGTGCTGCAATTTGACCCTGTGGCCATCCCCTTGAACATCTCGACACAGACAGAGCTCTGTTCCAGCTCTTATGCACAGTCATGTGACACTCATAACACACGCAAGGGACTGAGAGCGAAAGGCACCAGAGTATGCCACACAGTCACCAGAGCCCAACATAGCAGGGCTCCTCAGAATGTCACCTAAATGCCACCCTCAGCAATCACCTGAGTTGCATGTGAAGGAGCAGATTTGGGGGCCCCACTCCTGGCCTATCAAATCAGCCTCTTGGTGGCAGTGCCTAGGAATCCACATTTTAACAAGCTCCAGGGATGACTTCGGCCCTATTCAGCTGTGAGAATCCCTTTCCACTGAGGTTTCAAAGAGATAGGTAACACTCAAAGCAGGTGCGTTGCCATTTTTGGCTAGGTGTAAGGACTTATTTTGCATCGTTCTTCCTCAAGCTACCTGGTGGCACTATTTTGATAAGGATAAATATCCTCAGATCCTGGAGATGCACTGTTCCAACGAAGCTGTCCTCGTTCCCCTAACAGTACCGCACCCGTTTGAACAAGCAGCCCTCGGGGCAGGGACATTTCATGAGAGCAATGAGTCTTTTCATGCCTGGTCTTGTGCACAGGTGGTTATTTCCTGGACTGATGTTCACTACCCTGCACGAGATCACGATGTTCTATGCATGCAGTGCTTCCTTCCCTCACGGACTGAAGTTAAGTGTGTCACTGTGCTGGGGGCTTTGGTCATCTGACCCCCCCCTACACACAGAAAAATGTCAAAAGGAGTGGCTCTCTGCTGACAAAACGACAGCTCCCACACATATAGGTCAAATGGGGGTTTTTCTTTTGCACTGGAACCCTGAGGCTCCTTCGTGTTCTCAAGGAAGATGCCGGAGAATCTAGCTGACCCTGCACAAGCACCTTGTTCAGGTTGCAAGACACACAAAGCGTATGCCTTCAGTCAGGGGGTTCCTTCACGGGGCAATGGTAAGAAACCCCCGTGCCTTTTATTCAGCTGTTGTCCCTCAACTTCAAGCCCACCTTTCTATGCTCTGCTCTGTGATGCTGGGGCTGCTCTCTGCAAACCCCACTGCTCCTGTGCCTGTGGGCTCCCGTTAGAGTGCTCAGGCAGGGCGGGGAGCTGCTCCTTCCAGTTTGCTTCCTGTTCCTGTCTGGCCTCACCCCAGCAACAGGCTTCACACGGTGAGTCAGGCCCAACCACCAGCTCTTTATCCGGCACTCCCCGAGCTGGCGCATCGGGCCCCTCCCCAGCAAGAGCACCCGCCCACCTGTGCCACCACCTCAGAGCTCAGTGTGCTTGATCACGGGTCCCTTTACGCTCCTGAAGCACCAGAAGCAGCCAAACAGAACCCCCCTCCCTGCTTAGAGACCTGAGTTCCATCTCTGTGGGGTTCCTCCTGGCAACCCCCACCTTCCCTACCTTCCCCTACCCAGGGGCTGCCCTTGGGTTACCTCTCTGTCTTCTTGGCCTCCTCATGCCTGGTCAACCCATTCCTTACATCAAAGTCTGTATGCCGAAACTCCTAGCTGGTCTCTGTCTTCCTGACTAGTCCCCGAAAGTAACCCCGTCAAGGCTGTAGCTGCACCTGGACCCTCCCCGGCTGGGAGTAATGGCACCAAAATGGCAGAGGACAACTCAGTTTTCAGCCTACTGATCCTGCCTCCAGCGAGAAGCTGTTGGGCCTTCAGCCTCACGCAGACATGCTGATCTCTGCCCCAGCCTCTCACTGGTTGGGATTGTGCAAATATTTGCGTCTTAATAGCACGGACTCTGTAGGCAAACAGACCCGGATTCAAGTTCCTGTGCTACCATGTTGGGCTGTAGGTTTCGTGATTTCTCTAAACCTTTCCTCATTTACAACACAGCAAGGATGATGCCAACCAGGGTGGGTGTCACCAGGTGGGGAGGGAGCAGAAGGAATGTGTGTCACTTGAAAGGAATGGCCTTAGCCTCTCCTTCCTCCCTGCCCCTTCTGCGGGCGAGACATGGGGATAGCGGTGTGCCATCTTCAGCCATGGAGACAAAAAGCAACTTCCAACGGGAAATAACCAGCAAGAGGAAAAACTGATAGACCTTGAACTTTTTACTCTTGGATTCTTACGTGGGAGATAAATAAAATTATATTTTCAAGAAGAGTCACAGAGTCTGTTGATTCACTCTGTTGCCCAGGCTAGAGAGCCGTGGCGTCAGCCTAGCTCACAGCAACCTCAAACTCCTTGGCTCAGGCGATCGATCCTCCTGCCTCAGCCTCCCGAGTAGCTGGGACTACAGGCATGCGCCACCATGCCCAGCTAATAGACTGTGAGCTAGAACAGTGTCTTGGGCTGGTATACAACACTTTGCACTCAGAAATGCTTAATCATATAAATATTTATTTTTAATTGACTCTGAACACCAAATGCCTTTCTCTAGGATAAAGTTACACTGCACCATCTTCACCCTGGAGTCAGGCTGCAGGCTGAGCCACGCACGCCTGCCTTTGTCCTCACTGGCTGTTTAGCGACTCACCTTCATTCTGTCTGCAAACCACCTTCAGGAGCTTGAGTGGAGTGGACAGAATTAGGCTTGAGGAAAGAGGCATCTCGATCCTGGACACAAGTTTTTCAGCTTGGGGACCTACCGCTAAGGCCCAAGAGCCAGGAATGCAGACACAACAGCAAGATCCAACTTTTTATCTTTCCTGTCTTCCTGCCTGGGTGGCCTCAGAAGCCTGAGTGAGCCCTTGTAAGGACCACGGGGTCTCCTCACCCTGTTGCCGGGGATTTTACTTTCTGGAGAGAGAAATGCGGCCTGTGCCGGTGCAAGTCAGCGGCTTTCAGCAAACTGGACACCCTGCTGGGTCTGGGTTTGAACTTACTCTTCGGCGGTGATGTACGAGTGGCGGCGCCCCTTCTTGGAGTAGCCGTAGATGAAGTGAGTGTTTTCTCTCGGCATCTTGTAGGGTCAGGGTGCACGCCGACACCTAACAGAGGGGCACGTGGCGTCACTTAGTGCATCCAAAGCAACCTCGTCCATCATCTCATAAGGACCACAGAGGCATCGTCTCTGGGGGGTCCGACACTGACAGCCAGGTCCCTCTGGTTTCTCTGTGTGACAGGATTTGTACCCACTTCTGTCATCCACATCAAGGGCTTTAGAAATAGCTCACATTTCTAACCGCTTCCACTAAGTGAAAATTAAGTTCGAAGAAGAAACTCCAAACGAAAGCAAAAACTTTCCCAAGTGAGTTATTCTTTGGGTGGGGCAGGGGGAGAATGGCCTTCATTTGCCTTCAGTTTGGCTCTACACCATAAACTCGCAGAGAAACAAACAAACGAAAAGCACTTTTTTAAAACTTACTCTCCCCCTTCCCTGGCCCAGGGCTATGGTTAATAAAATAAGAAGAGTTATTTCTCTCCAAAGTTATTATTGGCCGTCAATCCCTGGACAGGTAGAAGGCTGTGACAACCTCATGTGTGTTCCCGGCTGTTCTCCACCTGAGCCTCGCTGGGGACACGAGGCCAAGCAGCCAGCACAGCACCTCCAACGCCACCTTCCCACAGAGGGGACCACCCTGTGCAGGGGCTTTGGCTTGCCCACGTGCGCTTCACCCAAAATTAGCTGAGCAAGCCCAGGGCCTGACGTGGTCTAACTACTTGGCTTCCCTCCCACCTAAAGCAATGCCTGCTTCTCTCTAGTCCAAGTCTCATGGTAAGAATTAAAAATAATAATAGTAATAATAAAATACAAATGGGGCCGGGCGTGGTGGCTCACGCCTGTAATCCTAGCACTCTGGGAGGCCGAGGCGGGTGGATTGCTCAAGGTCAGGAGTTCGAAACCAGCCTGAGCGAGACCCCGTCTCTACCAAAAATAGAAATAAATTAATTGAGCAACTAAAAATATATATACAAAAAAAAATTAGCCGGGCATGGTGGCGCATGCCTGTAGTCCCAGCTACTCGGGAGGCTGAGGCAGGAGGATCGCCTGAGCCCCGGAGTTTGAGGTTGCTGTGAGCTAGGCTGACGCCACGGCATTCACTCTAGCCTGGGCAACAAAGTGAGACTCTGTCTCAAAAAAAAAAAAAAAATACAAATGGATTTTTTAAAAAAAGCTCATCAACTGCATTGGTGCTCATAAAGCGCGCTCATTAAAAACCCACAATGGAAGGCTCTCTCCTTGCTAGTGTGTACTGCTCTGCCCTCTCGCCGCTCCCGTGCATCTCAAAGGTCTGATCCCCGTGGAGTTTTATTAACGAGCTCCAGTTTGAAACAACAGGGAGAAGGGGGAGAGCAGAATGAAAGTGTCGCCACATGGCTCCTTTCCATTGGGGCACTTTATGTGTAATTTGCCCTTCCCTTGTGAAAAAGAAACTGCAGTTGAACTCACTGATCACCTCAGGTGAATGACGCAGGGATGATCCCTGTGTTCAAAATTCCAGACAATAAACTCAATGCTGCATTAAATTGGCTTCACACATCTCCACCCCATGTTCAGAGCCTTGGCAAACCGTGTAGGGACAGCAAAGGCACCTCATCCCGCTCCACCCAAGAGAAGCAGTCCCTTGGGGGCCAAGAGAATGCATCGAACTTGGGGTGGCTGTTTCCCCCCAGCAGCTGCCACCCTGCATTGTCACGTTTCTTCTTGGCAGTCTTGCAGGACTGAGAGAGCATCTAGGCGGGGGGTTTGCGAACCCTCAGAAGTTGGAGAATTACAAACATCGACGAGAAACTCTGCTGGCAGTCAAGCATCAGGCAGGCAATGAGGGAGGGCAGAGGAGTTCACCAGAGTTTCCCGAACCCCGTTCTGCAAGAACAGGGCTATGATCATGGTGAGAAGGCAACACACTTACCTCCCTGAATGAGATAATCCCCGTCTGCTGGCTGGCTGTGTGTGTGAAGATTGCCTCTCTGGCTCTTAATCTTTTTTATTTATTTATTTTTTTCTCATCTTGAGTCCCATGATAGTCACGGGTTTGGATTCTGACGGGGTCGTCTGTGATTGCTTAATTGGCATGAAAATAAAACAGACTTCATGCCTCCCTTCAAAAAGCCCCAGCTTGCTGCAGGCTGTTTTCCCTAATCCCAGCGCTTCATCCTAGGGAAGCCATTTATTTTAAACTCAGGTCCCTCCTGCATGGGGCTGCCAGATAAAATATAGGCTGACCAGTTAAATTTGAATTTCAGATAAATGATGAATAATTTTTTTAATGTAACTATGTGCCATGCAGTACTTTTAGTATAAATATGTCCTATGCGTTGCATGGGACATACTTATACTTAAAAAGTTATTTTTTTGTTTATCCAAAATCCAGATTTAAGCAGGTGCTCTATACCCTCCCTCATCTCCATCTCAAATGGCTGAAGAGCCTATAGGCTCAGTTCTGGAGATCATCTAGTCCCAGACTCTCATGACCAAGAAAAGGAAGTAGAAAATCTCCCAAATCCCCTCAGCTGAGCTCCCTGGGTTCTTTGTGATACTCTTGGAGTTAACTGTCCACTGGGTGCAGTGGGTTTCTATGCATTTGCAAGGGACAGGCAAAGTTTTCCCCTTGAACGTGGAATGCAACCTACTTAGAAGCTAATTGAAACCCGGGCTGATTCTACTTCACATCACAATCTACCCTGGGAGGCAAACAGTGGATAGCCTAGCAGCGTCTCAGTGGGACATAACAGTCACCCTTGCTCAACGGCTCTCCATAACCACTGTGGGCAAACAAAACAAAGCAAAAATCCCACGAGAATGAGGAAATATGAGCATCCTCATCAGCTGAGGACTTAGATTAAATGACCGCTAAGGTCCCCTTCCCCACTGAGGGCCCCTTCCTTTCAGATCCCATGACTTTACAGTTTCCACTGTGGGCTGTGGACAAGGGCTGTCCTGTGTGAGGGCAGTGACAACCCCCCGGGTACTGGACAGTCATCACTGGAAATGGTAAAGGAGAGAGAAAACAGAGAAAGGAGGGTTGGTCCTTTTTAGGTGAGACAGGGAATAAAAGCCTATCTGAAAAGGAGGGAAAATTTAAATATCTAAATGGCAAGAAGGAGTCAGCCATGAAAAGATGAAGCAAGAGCATTCCAGAAAGAGGGGACAGCTCGTGCAAAGGCCTTTGGCAGAACAATAGAACATGCTCACTCTGGGAACCCTGGGATCTCTGGCTCAGGAGATTTCGTACAAAAATTGGGATGGATACAAGTCCCTGGTGTCAACAGATTTGGAGAGAGCAACTTCAACCTGAACTTCAGGGTTATGCCCGGTAACTCCCAGAGAGTCCCAGTGGGGAGAGCTAGTGTACCAAGAAGGATGCAGCTCCGGGCTGAGAAGTGCAGGGTTTGCACTAAGCTGGACGTGACGAGTAGCCTGGGCCCCTGGTGATCGGCAGCAAGGCCACAGGGGAGGGACGCGCCCACCTGCGTCTCAGGGCGAAGTGAAGCTCCCAGGTCTCCCTCTGGTCCTCTGGTGATGTGAGCTGACCCGGGGTCTCGAGTGAGCTCTGGCATCCCTCCAGGATGGAGACCGCATGCAGCTGGCATCTCCACCTCCCCCAGGGGAGGGTACAGGACCAGACCCCACACTCTGGGGACACTACGACCTGCCTGGAGGCATACTCTCTAGCGTGCTAGCTTTGTGACGATCTGGAGTCTTGATCTTTCGTGGGCATCTCTTTGAGTCTTTGAGTTGTTTGCAGCTTCTGAGGTGCCCTGTCCTTCCAGAGTTACATGCCCAGGGTGTGGCTTCTTCAAACAAGGGTTCCCTGGGAACCTCGCCTGAAAATCCTACCACATCCTTCTTCCTGGAAGCCCCCCAGATGTTCCTTCTGGCTGGGCTCCTAGTCTCCATCCTTGGACTGGCTGTGGGCCTCAGGGTCCACCCCAGAGCCAGCCCAAGCCAGGCCCGCCCCCACCTTTACACTTCCTAGTGACTTCCTTTTCTTCCCTGCCGGTGGAGCCCTAAGCTAACAGCAGGAACTCTAGAATCCAAACTGCCTGCACTCCATCTCTGTGTGTGACCTGCACACCACAAACCTCTGAAAGCCCCAGTGCACGCATCTAAAAACAAACAAACAAAAAAAGTGCTGATAGTTCACTGTGAGAGTTAGAGGAGATAATGCGTACAAAATGCTTGGTACAGTGTCAGGCACAGAACATGCTCGGCCACAGCAGGGTGAACTGTTCTGCAAGGCTGCCCAGCTGCTACCCTTTGCCCAGCTCAGATGGCACTGCCCTTGCCTGTCACTGCCCCCGCCCAGTCACTGCCCCCAGCCCAACCCAGCCTGGGGGTTAGAAATTGCACTTTGATGGCCCCTGAGGTTCTCCGCTGCCACCTAGTGGGCCTCGGCCCCCTTGCACCCCAGGCCCACCTCACCAGGGGGCCAGAGATGCCTGTGTGGTCCTTCTGAAACCCTCCTGTTTGCAGGGCGCAGGGCGCAGAATCCTCCTTACTCATCCTCCTTGGGACTTGGGACCTTCTTCAGTGCTCCCCGCAAGGCCGGGCTTTCGCTCGCTCTCACTCACGCCCCAAAGGCATATGGGGGTTTGGCGCTGCCGGCAGCCCTTTTGTAGGAGAAGCTGAACAAACAGAACCGGCCCTGCAGAAGGCAGAGAAGGCAAGGAGACGCCTCCGTAGTGACTGCGGCAGGCTGCGGACAGCACTCCGTTCCTACGCCTCTCGGGAGCCTTCCAGCCTGCTCTTATCGTTACGTGTGGCCTTGGGCGAGTTACTGAACCTCTCTGAGCTTCAGTGTCCTCGTCTGCAAAATGGGAATAAGGAATAATGACAAAGTTGCTGTGAGAGTTAAATGAGATAATATATGTAAAATCGGCTAGTGCAGTGCCTGGCAGGCCACCCAAGCTGGACAAAGGCTGGTGCCCCTGGGAATTTCCTGGGAACGGACAAACAGCCGGTGAGGGATGGCAGGGGACGCCTGTGAACTGACACCTCTGCGAAGTGTTCATCAGCTAACACGGTGCCCGCTGCGGAGGACAGCGAGGGACAGCCGTGAGCTAAGAAGGGAACGGAACGAAGGAGTGGCCGGGCGGGGGCTGCCAGGAGGCCTCCCTCCGCCCTCGGACACCCCGGAGTGAGCTGCTGCTCTCATGCTGGACTCGAGTTTGGCGGGAGGACCCCAGCAGTCCCCCACTCCATGAGGAGAGTTGCTCCAGGTGAACCAGCGTCGGCTCAACATGCGCACAGAATTGGCTCAAGCTGTGAGAACGTGGCCCAGTGATTCCCAAGGCGACTCAGGTGAGCAGAGAGGAGGCCAGTACGTGGGAAACGTGTTGATCCCACAGCAGCTCGGGCCTAGTCACTGCCAAGGAGGATGGGGTTGCAGGACTGGATCGCAATGACCTGTGGGTGGAAAAAGTACCGAGGGGTCAACCACAACATTCACTACGATATCACCCCAGGTTCTTGTCCGGGCTACAGCGGGATATTGGTTCTACTTGGGAGTGGAAGGTACTGGAAAGGTTCGGGAGGAAGATGGGCTGCGTTTGGGTCTGCAAAGGTAAGGAGGGGTTCACAGTCACAGCGTGGGGTGAGGGTGCGCAGGCGACTTCCAGGTGGAGGGAGGACTCGGGGGCCTGGAACGGCCTGGTGGGTTTGGGGAACCGTGAGTAGTTCCTCATGGCTGGAACTCCAAGTACAAGAAAGGGGGTGGCAGGCCTGAGGCCCAGGTCCCAAGCCTCAGAGGGTCTAGAGCCCAGGGGTCCTCAAACTTTTTAAACAGGGGGCCAGTTCACTGTCCCTCAGACCGTTGGAGAGTGCGCACTGTGGGCCCGGGAAGAGTTGGCTGCTAAGCAGGACAGGCAGCGGTGGCAGGCCGGATAAATGTCCTAGGCTGGCGGCATGTGGCCTGCGGGCTGTAGTTTGAGGACGCCTGGCTCTAGACCACCTCGCTGAGGCTTTCAGAATGGCCTGGCAGGCTGTGTTGAGTCACAGAAAGTTTTTTTTTTTTTAATTTCAGCATATTATGGGGGTACAAATGTTAAGGTTACGTATATTGCTCATGCCTCCCCTTCCCCCTCAAGTCAGAGCTTCAAGTGTGACCATCCCCCAGACGTTGCACATCTCACTCATTGTGTTTGTATGTACCCGTCCCCTCCTCCCCCCTCCCACCTGCCCGACACCCAAAGGTTTTGAGCAGGGAAAAAAGTGGGCTGACCAGACTGACGGGCAATCTACTTTCTTATGCTGTGAAGATATCTACCTCCCAGGCGGCCTTGAGGAGAGCCTGTGTTGCTGTTTGTGAAAACATTTTGTAAGCTGTAAGTCATGGTGATGTGAGAGCTGGAAGCTTGTCCTTGAACGGCAGGGCATTGGGCTGGTGACATGAAGGGATGAGTAGGAGAGAGCTGTGGGTTCTCATTCTGATTCAAACGCTTGCTCCAGCCTTGACTGGTGGTGTGTCCTTGGTGTATAAGACTGTCAGCATCCGTCTCTCCATCTGCAAGATGGGAACTTAATCTCTCTTGGGAAGGTTGGAAGGTGAGCCCTAGTGTGCCTAGCAGGGAGTACACTCTTGTATCAGTCCAGGGTGTTGATCGGGAGCAACAGAAACTCGACTCTGGCTACCTACAGAAATGAGGACATTAATGGGAGGTTAAGAAGGTGTCCCATAGAACTAGAGAAAAGTCTGAGCAAACCAGGCCTTAAGAAGAAATAGGATGAAGTTGTTCTGTGAATACAGGTAGCAAGAATGAATGGTTGCCACCACTGGAATGAAATCAGCTGCAGCTACGTTCATCTTTGTGTACAAGATTCAGGTCCTTTGGAGAATGTTGTGTCAAACTAAATAACAAACAGAGGGAGGCTCTCTAAAAGAAAAGATGGGCTAGGCATGGTGTCTCACATCTGTAATACCAGCACTTTGGGAGGCTGAGGTGGGAGGATTGCTTGAGGTCAGGAGTTTGAGACCAATCTGT